TCCAGAGCTGCCCAGAACAACCCCCTCCTTAAGGTCTGCTCTAACAGCAGCTGTAATGTTAAAGTGTGATAGAAGGATAATCCCTGCTCCATTCCTGGAAATGTTCATGGCCAGGCTGCACAGGATTCTGAGCAACCGGTCTAGTGGAAGATGTGCCTGCCCTTGGCAGGAGTGTAGGAACTAGATGGTCTCTGATGTCCCTTCTAATCCGAACCATTCCATGATTCTATGGTTTCTGGGCTGAAAAGAGACACTGGGTACCCAGCACCTGCACTGCTGGCAGCCATCAGGATGTGGAGCAGCACTGAACCACGGCATTGGTCTCAGTCTGTGAGAGCAAAGATGTGTGGGGACAAGCCAAAGGAAAGCAGCTATGAAAATCAGGATGTATGACAGGAGGATGAAGCACTATTTTAGTATGGCACAGCAAACGTGGCTTTCCGACCTAGCAGGATTCTGTGCCAGCTGGCTTTGTGAGTGCAAAAGACAGCAAAACCCAGACTACTGAGAAGAGTAGCATTTGTACCAATTAAATTCTGACGCTCACTAACCCCGTATTAGCTTATATAAACATTAATACTACTTCAGCATGGAAATATCCCGAGTCTTTCCAAATCTAGGTGCAGATGTGACAGTTCAGAGGCACCTCACAGAGGCAGAGTATTGCTGCTCTGCAAAGATCTACTCACCTACATGCACTATTTCTAAACCTACAAGTGTGTCCCGCCTTAACCACTGCAGCAAATACTATTTCAGGGGTGCCAGGGGTCTGCCTCTGTTTAAATGGTGCCAGCAAAAAGGCTAAGCAAGGTGCAAGCAGATTTTCCAGACACACAAGCATAATTTTAGAGTAATTTAATAAGAATGTGCACAAGAGTGAAATTTGGTCTGTTGGTGTGCTAAAGAATCTCTCAAGTAATCAACATTAGACTGAAGAGAAGCCTACTGTGTTTGTTCAAAATATGTTAACACTAAACAAAATAATGCAATGGCTTGAATTAAAATTCAGTTTTTCCAGAGCGCAGAAACATCATAAATCAGCGCAGTAAATTACCCCTGTGCTGTGAAATTAACACCCAAATACATGAAATAAAAGTAAGAATTTACAGCTCTGATCAATCAATTTTTTTTATTAACTCCATCTTCTGTTTTATTTACCTTCCTCCACATGCCTCTCACTCCAGAGTAAGTGACTTGGCTCGGGCTGAACGTGGCACTCCTGGGAGCTGGATGTCCTCCCCATCTCACACCACCCACAAGGCAGCACAGCCCTGTGACCCTGTGCTCTGCCAAAGCAACCCTAAACCCTGCCAGGCACAAAAGTCAAGCTATGAGGAGAAGGGCTGGCTCTCCCAGCAGCCACACCAGGGTTAGGCTGACTCACAGCTGCTGAAGATGCTGAGCTCCAGGAATGCCTCCCTTGCTGCTGTGTGTATATACAGCTGGGAAACAAATGCCCAGGGGAATGCCTTTCCCTGTAGTCATGTAACCCCTAGAGTCACCTCAACGTTTTGCAAAATGTGTTTCCTACTCCCCTCACAAAACTGTGCTTTGCAATATATTCCTATAAAGGAAAATCTCAGCTTGCTCTCTTGGACCTGCTACTTAGGCTGCAGTGTCCACCAGTTAACAGAACAAGGCTGCCTTGTTTTCCAGTGTGAATGATTTATGGTTTCACACGTGCTCATGTGCTACATTATTCACTTCGTACTTGTACCTATGAATATCAGCTCATGAGATAAAAGTGCGTACCAAGGCACAAACAAATGCTCGGCTGTATTTTAATAAAAATATCAAGGTGAGAAAAAAAATAGGCTTTCATGGGAGGTTGCCCACACTGCCTTTCCAATCCTGACACACATGGGCGGACTGCTCATGTTCCTGTCCTCTTCCCTGGAGCACCCATACACACCCCAAGCCCGAAGAGGAGGGCCCCTGCCACCATGTACTTGTGCCTCCGCAGCACAGTCAGCCCCCAGTGAGAGCGTGAGCTGCCCAGGCCACTTCAGCACCCAAATCTTGCTATCGGCAGCATTTTAATAGCTCTTCCTGCTAGTTGCTTCCTGCAGGAGCAACTCTTCATCTCTCTAAAACCCACAGAGCAAACTGCAGGTAATAATACTGAAAGGTCTGAAGCCTGCCTTCAAACAGATCCAAATGCATGCAATACATTTTGCAGTTTGACTGCCTAAAATAGTCACCCTGAGCTGTGCCAGTCTATAAAAATGTAGGAAGTGACAACTTGTCTATTAAGAGGTTTCTTCTATCCACAGACATGGCATACAAGGAGTAATGTTGCTTCTGCTATCCAGATAATCAATCAAAAGTGTAAGAATTGGCTGCAATTATGATCCTGAATTAGAACCAGGAACAAAACCTGGACTCCCTGTGTCTCCACTTATCTGACACGTAGTGGTCCATGTGCCTCCAGAAACCTGCCTGACCTGCATGAGCTACAAGGCAGCTGAAAGCAAGCTCCAGAGGAAGGCAAACACGGTCACTGTTGGAGGGCACTGACCTCCAAAAACAACTGAGAACATCCCTATGCTCCAGCAAGCTCCTCCTCTCTTCTGCTACTTCCCACCAAAAGATGTAAAAAGTGCAGGATCCTGCCTTCGTGTTGACTCTCAGCAGTGGATTACTCACAGGAGTGAGATGTCAGTTTGCTGGCAGTGTTTAAACTTCCAAAGTGACACAGAAAATAAAAGATCCCCTTTCTCAAATGACTGCTCTCCCCCGACAGCAGGAGCATGCTCATTCAGCCCACGTATGCAGCAATCGCGGCATATTTGGGTTCACATTAAACCTTTTCATCTTGATTATACAGCATGCTGTCGCATTTAGGGCTGCTGTGCAATGCTCTACGTGAGTTACTGCTGTGCTGAATCCCAGCAAGAGTACAGGGCTGGCAGGCTACGAGCCTCTTCTGCGTGTGCAGAAGTCTCCTGTACAAAACAACTGGAGTGTGAATTACTGTCTTAGAGAAACTAGTGCACTGCAGGGAGATGGCTGAAAAGAGCCTTGTCAGAGACCCCCAGGGGCACTCTCTAGGAAAATCCATTATGCTTTTATTTCTTGGACATCAGCATCCTATCAGAAGATAGCCGTCTGATGTCAAGGCCAGGCGCTCCCCTTTGGGAAAAGGGATCTCTGCACACACACTCTCCGTCAGCATCATCGTTTTCAAAACAAACTTAAAGAGGCCACCTTGCCCAGTTCTCACTGCTCTGCGTTTGGCACTGAACTGGATTGAAGGGGATGATTTACCCTCTCTATGACAAATCACAGCCAGTCAGAGCCACAGTCAGTGAGCAAGGATGCTCACTGAGTATAAGGGGGGTCCTTTGGGATTTGCCCAAGCAGCAAAGTTACTCATCCTGAAGCCTTTAAGCTCTCAGACAGCAATTTCCACAGTGCAAATGAAGATTAACCACTGTTAGTGTTAACTGTGAGAATAAGATCTTGTTGTTAGGGAAAGTATCCTGCCTGCTCTCCAGAGAGACAAAGAGCCAAGCCACAGGGTGTGCCACCAGGCTAAGGTGCTGCAGGGCTGCCATGTGCCCAGCTCCAGTCCTTGTCAGGAGCTCACCCTGGCAGATCAGCAGGGCTGTGCTGAGCAGATTGCTCTGTGGGAGGAGCAATGGAAGGGAAGCACAAGCATTAAACACTGTGAGTCCTAACTCTGCTACTTTGCCCAGATGGGATTTATAGGGTGGGGAGGGGGAGAAGGGATGCAGATGGAAGAGCATCTTCGGCCATTCTAAGTGTTAAAAATAAGTGAGATATGTGCCTTAGGGCTCAGCAGATTGAACACAGTGATTATACATTCTCCATAATTCTTCACCTGGGCTTATGCCTGAGAAGATCCTGACCCCTTCTTATGCCACACATTGCAATAGGATTGCCCAACCAAATGTTGAAAACCTATTTAGTGATCATCATTTCCATACACAAAATTAAAAATGTTCCCTCTCATGCCTGTTCCTTCTAGGTTTTTAGCTGTTTAGAAATTTGCAGAAGATAAAAATAAACTTTAAAAAAAACCCATCAAAACACCAGAACACAACTAGGAGCATGAAAACAAGCCAGAGCACTGTGCAAATTCTCTGAACTACCTTAACAAAGATCAGCATATTGTTCTGAAAGATCCCCTCGACTCACCAGCTCCAGATCATGTTGGAGGGTCCCCACAAGCCCAGTGAGCGAGCAAAGCTGGGTACATGCTGGAGTGAGGAACTACCAAGCACAGATAGGCACCCAGCAGAGCATCCATGACCTCAGGCTACATCTCCTGGGGCAATTTCATTATTAGCCTCATTCAGCAAAGACGCCGAGGATTCAGACATGTGCAGAGCTGCTCTGCATGGGTGCCATGCTCCACTGCCAGCTAACAACAGCATTTTAACTCGAAACAATCACCATCTCTGCCACACTGACCCCACAGGCTACATCCCCAGCTGTTATAAATCAGTGCAAACACAGGGATTTTTTTTTAAAGGCCAGAGAGATATCTGGGTCATCTAAACTGTCTTTTTGTATAAAGCAATCTGTAGAATTAAATCTACCTGCTTTAATGTGGAGCCTTATTACATGTGCTGGACAGCCATCATGTCACTCACTTCAGTGGTGCTACACCAGCTTATAAAGAATGAAACAGCGCTCTCTCTGCAACCTGCAACAGCTTGAATCTGTTTCCTAGCACTGCTCTGCAGACTCAGTGCAGCTAAGTCTCACCTCTGGAGACACAGGGAAGAGCTAGCAGCTCAGTGACCCAGGGCAGAGTGATTGCTGCAGCAGCACATCTGCAGCACATCATCTGCCACTGCGTTCGCGCACGGATGCAAAGCAGAATGCTTCAGACACATACAAGAAGCTTTAGTCACATAAGCAACCAGGAAACAGGGGTTTGGAAAGCAAACCAGTGCACCCTGAAGGGGTGAAAGCTGATAAATATGTAAATTGCATTTTCCCACTGCCCTGAGGCAACAGGGTTTTGTTACCTGTTTTGGGATTGATTACAAAGAAGTTCTGGGGATTTCCACTTGTAATCCGGTAGGTCAGTTTGTCATTAGTGCTGGAGTCAGGGTCCTGGGCTTGGATCTGAATGACAGATACATCCTTTGGAGAGTTCTCCATGACAACTGGGTAATAGATAGGCTCAGAGGTGAGAGGGGCATTGTCATTCACGTCCTCCACTTCAATGTAGACTTCGATGGTGGTGTAGAGTGGGACAACACCATGATCAGTCGCATATACCGTCAACCAGTAGGATTTGGTGGTCTCCCGGTCAAGAATATCTGCTGTGTAGATAACTCCTGCAGAAAAACAGCAAGCAGAGGATGTCATGAATAGGAGCAATAAAACATCACATCTATTTTCATTTGGCTGTACTACAGAAATGTGTTCAGCATACAACAAGCAATCAAAAGCTCACACAGTAGCCCTTAGACAACGAATACATCCTCTTTTATCACAGAGGAAGGAAAGGCTTGGCCACTTTACCTACTGGTGTAAGAAAGCATCAGTTGGTTTTCTACCTGGTCCTAAGAAAAAAAAAGAGCAAGTGTGTCTGTGTACAATAGAGCCACAGGGAGGGATAGAAGTACAAGCCCTGTGCCTGAGCAGTCCTGGCATGAAGGGCTTCCATGCACTTCATTTCTGCCTGAAATGCTTTAGAAATCCATCCTCCTTGTGACATGAACACCTGGTTTGTGTCTGCTTGGAGCTAAATGACCTTTCAGGTCCCTTCTAAACCAAACCATTCTGTCATTCTATGATAAAGCAGAAACTCTACCACTCTAAGACTTGGTTGTGTTGGCATAGTCCAAACCTTCACTGGCTTAAGCACTGAGTATGAGTGCACAGAGGAACCAAATACACCAGTACCACACACAAAATCACACCAGCATCAAAATAAGGAAACACACTTCTATGACACATATATCAAGAACATTTTCATCTCTAATATAACATTGTTAAATCTTGAGAGACACACTAATGCAGTGGATCTCAAGCTTAAGAAATACTCCAAAGGACAGTTTGCAAATCATCAAATCATGTCATTAGTAGATGGAAAATGATGGAGAAATTCCAGGGCAAAACAGGAACACAAGAAACCTGCATTTAGACTCAGATGCTCTTGATGCTATTTAGAACAAAATTACCAGTTAATCACTGAGGACAGAGCTGCTCTAAGGTCAGCACTAATAAAGGATATGTGTCTTTTTGGCTTTAAGTAGTTTTTTTTTTTTTTTTTTTTTTTAAGGATCTAACTGCACTGTTTTCATGATAGCTTGAAGTCTTAGAAAAGTTTTCAAGGTAGCATAGAACCCATCCACACAGTCACAGAGATGCCACATGTATTTGCTCTTGTCTTATAAGATACTTTTTTTTTATAATACTGTAATACTGCAATTTTTTTTCAAGTTTTGTATTTTTTTTTAATGTTTTTTAAGGCCAGTTTGAACTGACAAGCATACTCCTAACATTTGATCAGCCATATAAGAGAGGAAGGGGAAAGGAGCAGCACTGATTCTGGTCGTGCATGGGCTTAGGTCATTTCGTAGTAACCTCAGACCTATGTCCTTCTCACTCCGACGTATTATTCACCTGTCGTAGGTGAGCAGGGCAGCACTGGAGGAAAAAGGCAGAGTGTATTCTAAATATTCTTGCTGGCAGCAGCCTGTGCTATGTAATGAGTTTTCTGCAGAAACATGGGTGAAATATATGGGGAACTGTGATGAAAAAAGCCTGCAAGTCCAGAAGAGGAATTACGCTGCAGGGATGAGAAGAGCCCATAACAACCCACGGAAATAAATAAATAAAATAAATCCACATAGGAAAGAATGAGGGAAAAAAGATTAATATTAGTGATAGTAGAGATGATGATTTATTCAGAAGACATGAAGAATTATTTTACATCTTTAAACAAAATCTGAAATAAATAGGGTTCTCCCCCAGTGAGAGCACAGAAGGCTTTAGCAGATTAACCTATGTCTATGAAGCTGAATTTCACTGATACTGAGGTGATAATAAATCTATCTTCTGAGTCATTCCTTCATTTTATAACTCCTGGCAACAGTTACTTTTCATTTCTGTATTTCAGAAGGGAAGGATCATTGAACAAGCATTAGCTACTGCCCACAGGTCTGCTACACTGGTTCATACTTTTACTTTTGATTTATTAAAAGGTCCCAGATACAATTAATTCCTTTTCCTCAATAAGTCTTGTCATTTCACCTGTCAACACCACACAGCAGCTTGATAAATAAGAAGGCTTTTGTTCACTTGCAGGTTTTCCTCCTGGAAATCCTTCCACCACCCTGGGAATACCTCCTACCATGCTCTTGAATGTTCTGCACAAAATGCCTCCTTCCTGCACACCCCCATAAAGGTAGTACCCACAAGAACACACAAGCTGCCCAAATATTTAATGGATCACTCCACACGGGTGTGGATGGCATCCTTCCAGAGGGATGTCAAATGCCAGCTCCATGTCAGGTGTTAACCCTTGAGACTAATGATGATATTTGGTCATCAACACTGCTTCTTCATCACTATGGCATGAAGGCAAAGAGGCTGACACAGCTGACATCAGGAGCTGCAGAATGTTCCCTGGGCAGTCCACAGATAGGCTCCTACTCACTTTAGCTGAGAGAATGGAAGGGTATATCCTTGGATAAAATTACAATAAATTCAGAAAACACGATGCTTACTTCAAAGACCATAGATATTAACAGATATTACAGAAAGACAGAATTTGGTTTTCAGGAGCAGGGGAGCAGAAAGGAGGAGACTCCTTTGGAAGCAGCTCTAAGGGCTTTTCTTGGACGAATTTTGTGGTGCACTCTTTCCAGCTGTTTGCTAATTAAAAGAGAAATGTGAACAAAGTAATGACGCCTGAACTAAACAAATCAAGAAGAAACACCAGCAGAAATCCTGAAAATTTCAAAGGGACTAAAAACCAAAAAGTTCCAAGATTTTGCAGACACATTTCTGAACAAGATAGATAAAACAGATGTTTTCATCCACTGGGATGTTACACCATGGAGGCACTGCCGCGTTTTTACATGAGACAGCTAAAATCCAACCACACATCTGTGAGCCAGCTCTTTGTGCTGCCCTCGGCTGGATTTTGCAGAATCCCTGAAGGCCTGGAGCCAGCACTACCTGAAGCCCAGGGCAGCCTCAGAAATAAAGCCAGCCAACAATCCAAAAAGCAGCGCCACTGATATGCTTGCCACTGCATTCCTCCAAGTATATATGCCCCATGCAATTTGCCAAACACCACGTGCATTACAAACACTGTAAGTGAAAAATAACAACAGAGTGCATTAGCTGCTGATTAAAATCCTCAGCACATTTATATGTAAATTAAGCGCAGCCCTTGGGCTCGGCAAAGTGCCAGCAATGCGAAGGTTGTGTGCTTGTTTCTCTTTAAAGCTTGTTTCCCCTCTTTCCTTGAGAAAATAATGGGATAATGTTTTCTGTATGGCTTCTGCAACTGGACACAGAGACACAACATTATGAAGGACACAGGTTAAAAAATAAAAATCAAAAAAACTATTAAAGTGGACGAAGAATTGGCAAATTGCATTTCCCTCTTTCCTCTCCCACTGATTTGCTGTACATCTGTCACCAGACCACTTCAAATGATGTGGTCCACCCAAAAAATATCTGAAAGCCATGTATTTACTACCATGACGAGAAACCTGAGAGGCTCTTAAAACAAAAAGGCATTAGAGAAAAGCATTATTTCTTTCATCGCCTCTTTTTTGCCCCCTGTTTGTTTACTCTACATATTTGACAGTACTGTGTATATAGGTAGTGTGATGGATGGACCTGCCACAGCCCTTTAAGAGAATGTTTACTGGAGCTGTCAGCCTGGCTGTTTACATAGGTGCCCATCGCCATGGATATCTGCTACACACATACGTTCCTCCTAAAAGTCAGATCATCCTTCATGAATACCCTCGTAGCACAAACATTGAAGGGAGTTCAATTCTGTTTAGTTTTTCCAATGCAAGATTAAAAGACAACTTGGTGGTCTGTAAGAAGCTGTGCATGGAGAAGTCAAAAGAGAGTAACAAAGCTCTTTAATCTAGCTGAGAAAAGCAAACTGAGGTCTGATGGCTGGAAGTCAATGGCAGAGAAAGAAGAGTGCAAATATTCAACAAGGAGGGTATCTGGCAGGAGCAACTGCTTGTCAGGGACAGGCCAGAATCTCCTATCATTTGGCACCTTGGTACTGAGAGAAGACAATAGAACCTATTCTTCTACCCAAGTTATTGGCTTAGCTGCAGAAACGAATACAGAATGTGATTTTGTGGAGTGACTCAGTAGCCCATGTTATAAAAGTTTCCAGTAGAAGTAGCCATACCCTCAGACAATGATGAACAAGATATGGGGAAAGGAGACTGACTACGAAGTATCTGCTATTCTTCCAAAAACTGTAACACAGAAATGCCACATAAAAATACTTAGTTCTCTCCTTTTCAAAATACTGCAGTGGTTTTGCAGGGGGATGTGTTGAATCAGTTATCAATTGAGAAGAATCTCAGTGACAAAAGATGTTGCTTATTCTCCTCAACCCTTTTCAGGAGTATGAGCTAATTGCACAAATGTGCATCTCAGACTGGGAAATCAGGAAAGGCTAGATAAGGTGAATGGCCCACTTATTGGCAGAGCCTGGCCCAGGAGTGGCCATAGAGGTGGGCAAGAGGAGTGGGAGGCAGAAAGGCAGAACATGCCCTCATCACAAGCTGCAGCACAGGATGGAAGCAACACTACAGCAACACACTCCCAGATACTCCCAGCTGCCAGACTGCAACGTGACCATTCCCACCTAAAGCCAGTTTCTTGCTAGTGGAAATGCAAGGTTTAGTGGTTAAAGTCACTATAAAAATATATAACTTCAGGGTGACTGAAGGACTGAGGGTAAGGCATACATCTTCCTGACTCCACACCCCAGGATACCCTCAAACTCACTCAGTATATCCAGGGGCCACATCAGTTTCTGCCATGAAATGCTAGAAAAACACATTTCTAGAGCCCCCATCTGCCTCTCCCTCCTCCAGCTTCCAAACAAAGGGGCTCAGTGCAAACAGCTACAAAGCAGAAGCTGGTTTGTCCCCCAATTAAAACGACAGAAATGAGGCCGTCAGGAATGCCTACTAACAGTGAAGTACAGAGCTGGTACATCCGTCAAAGGAAGAAACAGAAAAATCACTGATTCCAAAATACTACTAATTATTCATGATCCTTTATCAAAGACTCTGTGAGTCTCCTGGCAGTAAACACAACACCTTGGTTGTCA